TTAGGTCAGTATTGTGATAATACCTTATCTGATAAAAGCTTTAGCAATTAATCGCAACAAGAACATTATGAACATTATGAATGCTTGATATTTTGATAAAGGAAATGTTGCTTTCATGTTATTTCATCACGTTCCTTATAGATACAGGGCATATTTTACTCTACAAGTTTGATCCATTTCAGAATAACTAACTGGTACTGAGTGTTCAGATTTTAATGATGTGTTAGTTTGTGTTTGGTTAGTTTTAGCTTTATTCTATTTCTATATGAACTTGTGTGTGTGAAAGAGAGTTTGTAGAAAAGAGGGTCTCTGATAACTTATATATATATATATATATATATATATATATAATTTTGATATATTTATATTTATATTTGATATATTTGATATATAATTTTATATATTTTTTATATATAATTTATATAATTTTATATATTTTTTATATATTTTATATATAATTTTATATATTTCCAAGTATTTTTCTTTTTTTTTTTTTAAAGGATTTCAACATATACTGAACCAAATAAAGCTGACCAGAAATAGGACATGAAGTCATAAGACATGACCCTGAACAGGAAAGAATACCCAGGCATCCCTGTTTTTTCTCAAAGTCACAATTTTGCCTTACAGTTCATCAGAGGCCTTGAAAAGCCTCCTTGAAGCAAGTCTTCATTTGTGTGACAGGAATTCTTGTTATTGAGTTGACTGTTTTACACATTTCAAGTACTTTGCTGATATAAAAGCCATCACATGTCCACACATATAACAAGTGCACTCAAAAACAATCACTGCTGCTTGTTCAAATTACCTGTTTAAAATGAGCTGAAACAACACAATTCTTGTCATTTCTTTGGCCAATTTATTTTCAGTCCACTTAAATGTGTAAACCATTGAGTTAACTTAAGCATTTAGTGTTGGGAGAACATGAAAAAGTTACATTGGTCCAACCATCTAGTTAGGGGATTTGTAGTTCCCATGTCCCAGCCAGCATGCTTTGAGTGATATTCAATTAAGAGAGGGAAATGTTGACAATAAAAGTAATCTTAGGTAGTTAACAGAAAGACTTGTTGGAGTTTAATATTCACTTCAGTTTGAAGATTAAGAAGTAGGGATGGGTACCGAAACCAACTTACTATTCTCACAGAGATTATGAAGTGTCTGATGGATATAATGACAAAAGAATAGTAAATGTGCAGTGAACTATACATTCATAATTTGCCATATGTGGACATATGTTTTAAAAGTCAAATTATTATGTTCAGGCAGTTTGATTAAAAGGTGATTCAACCAATCATTATACACAAATTCTGTGCCAAGTAACTGTCTGGCCATTTTTCAAGCAATCAGTCAGACTAACAAAGCATAGTAGAATAACATCGGCGACAGCCGTGAAAAAAGGTGAGAATGTGCTCATATGGAACACATATACAATATACACACAATTTTTTATTTTCCTGAAACCTTGAGAAGTAAAATGGACTTGTGTGGACACCAGCCTCAACATCAGCTGTCACAAGATGACTTGAAACACAAGGACTGAAAACAGATGAACTAATCTTGTCTGTTACTGAACCAATACAGCCCATGTAACTTTAGTTTATAGAGATATGATTTGACCATAACCAGTGAACTACCTGAAGGCTCAGAAGATGAAAGGCGAGATGAGCAAACTTAAACCAGATAGTCTGGAGACCAAAATAAACAATGAATTCATATCTGCTGTCTCTTATAATTTTGTAGATCCATTATTGTCATTTTCAAGACGAAATGTTTTGCATGAGTTTGTGAGTTATGTGTTAGGGAATTAATTTGTAACATTTTAATTATATTCAAATAATCTGAAATTCCCATCAGACTTGTAGGCTACATTTTTAATATTTGTTTTGTTTACACTATAGTTATGCTCAATTCCTGAATTTGCCTCATATTGCAAATGTTTATGTCTTCTTCTGTGTGAAATCAATAGGCTATGTCATATTTTCAGAAATTATTCACTATTTCCCAGGGGAGCGCACAAATTTATAGGCAATCACTACAGCTGATACTGGAAGTTTGTCTGAGAAAGAAGGAAGGTGGAGAGGTGGTTGCGAAGGGTCAATTGCTTTCAAAATGTAGTATGTACACACAAAATGTATTAGTTTAGAGACTTCTATGGCTTGGCACACAACGTAGAGACAATGTACACTCACCGGCTGCTTTCCAACTGCTGTTAACACAAATTTCTAATCAGCCTATCATTTAGGCAGGCATGTATACATAGTCAAGACGGTCTGCTGCAGTTCAAACCGAGAATTAGAATGGGGAAGGTGACATGGTTGTTTGTGTCAGACAGGCTGGTCTAAGTATCACAGAAGCTACTGCAACAGTTCTGTGGGTGCAAATGCCTTGTTGATGCCAGAGGTCCGAGGAGAATGTCCAGACTAGTTCAAACTGATAGAAAGACAACAGTAACTCAGATACATACAACCGAGTTATGCAGAAGAGCATCTCTGAGTGCACAACATGTAGAACTTTGAGGCAGATAGGCACCACAGCAGAAGACCACACCAGGGGCCTGTTTCAGTAAGGAGGTTCAAACAACTCGGAGTTTAAACTTGAACTCTGAGTTGATTTACCGAGAGATTAAAAACTCTGAGTTTTCGGTTTCAGAATAGCTGATCTGAGTTGGGTCAATCAACTTTGAGTAGAGCAACTCAGAGTTAAGCGCGCACACCGTGACTATAAAAAGGCATTATCAATGGAGCGCAGATATTATGAGTGACCATGGCAACATCTTAAAAAAAGAGATCAGCATTTCTTTCTCCGGCTGAATTTGATCTGCTCATGCAAAGTTATAGCAAATATGAGCGTATATATTTAAAAAGAAGCAACTATCAGTGAAACAGAGACAGCCTGGGAAAACAGCTGCTCAAGTTAATGCGTAATTTTTAATTTAAAGTATTTAAATATTTAAGTATAATAAAATAAGTAATATAATGTGTGACGTTTCTAAACTTTTATACACGTTGATCAGTTTTAATAGATTAAAAAGTGCACTTGTGTGTCTGCCTTTTTATTAATCAAGTGATAGAGGTTGAAAACATTTCGAAGGTAAGCAGAACTAAAAATAATTTTAAAAAGAATAATAATCCCATTAATCTAGTAACAGTACATGTCAAAGGTTAAGCTAATTATTTATGAAAAAGGACAAGCCTCGTACGTGACTTTGTTCTGTGCGTGACAAAAATGTAGGCAATATCTATGTTTCCATCCAAATATATTACATAAATTTGTGCAAAACTGGAATATTGCATAAAAGATGCAAATAAAACAGCGTTTTTATCCAATGAGTCAAAGAGAACACAATCGTCACTTCCTGATTAACTTGCGCCAAATATCAACAGTAAAAACAGAATTTACTGCGGTAGAAGAAGCTGCGTCAATTAATTATTTATTTAACAAATGTACTTGCGCCTCAGAGACACAAGACAATGCTGACACGCAATGAACACGTGGGGGCGTTTGAAGCCAGATGCGGAGACTCCCCAAGTCCAGACGCTCAGAGGTAATTAATAATATACAATAATACTGAAACAGTTCAGGCATTTTAGAATGACCAAAAACAACATTTAAGATGTTCTACAGTGTACTCGGTCTGCTGGTTTGTCCATTCACTCACATTTTCATTATCATCTCTAACAAACTTTTTTTAATGTACATACTGTAATTTGTTAAGTGCACTTCGTAGTTTATGCACATCTTTTCTTATCTAATAAAAGTTTACCCTCCTCAGTTATGCACATGTTTTATTATGCGTATTTTCAAAAGTGATGTGAATTATGACGTTTCCATTTATCGTTTTTATGGGCATCTCCAAAATGAGCTCTAAAATAGGTGGGTGGAAACGTAAGGCTAAGGCGAAAAATACGCTTCATCTTTAAAAAAGGGGAGGAGACCGACAGAAACTCTGAGTTTAGAGAATAAAACCTGCTCTGGACCAGGTCAGATTCACAGAGTAAGTTACCACGGTAACTGACTCTGAGTTAAAGTTACCTCTCTTTCAGAAACAGGTTTGACTTACCCCGATTTCTCGAGTTTAACAAACCTACCATTTTGAAACGGAAAACCCAGAGTTTCTCTCATTTCAGGGTTAAAATACTCTGAGTTTTCACTTAACCTGCTTTCTGAAACAGGCCCCAGGTGCCACTCCTGTCAGCTTAGAACAGGAAACGAAGGCTACAATTCAGACAGGCTTACCAAAATTGGACAATAAAATATTAGAAAAACGTTGCCTGGTCTGATGAGTCTCGATTTCTGCTGTGACATTTGGGTGGTAGGGTCAGAATTTGGCATCAACAACATGAAAGCAAGGATCCATCCTGCCTGGTTTCAAAGGTTCAGGTTTGTGGCGGTGATGTAATGCTGTGGGGGAATATTTTCTTGGCACACTTTGGACCCATTAGTACCAATTGAGCATGGTGGCAATGCCAGAGCCTACCTGAGTATTGTTGCTGACCATATCCATCTCTTTATGACCACAATATACCCATCTTCAGATGGCTACTTCCAGCAAGATAATCCACATTGCATAAAGCGTGAATATTCTCAGACTGCTTTTTTGAACATGACAATGAGTTCACTGTACTCAAAAGGCCTCCACAGTCACCAGATCCCGATCCAATATAGCACCTCTGGGATGTGGTGGATTGGGAGATTCGCATCATGGATGTGCAGCCGACAAATCTGCAGCAACTGCTTGATGCTATCATGATAATATGAACCAAAATGTCCGAGGAATCTTTTCAGAACCTTGTTGAATCTATGCCACGAAGGATTAAGGCAGTTCTGAAGGCAAAAGGGGGTCAAACCCAGCACTAGTAAGCTGTATCTAATAAAGTGGCCAGTAAGTGTATACTCGTACAAACTTAAAATAACAACATGGAAAAAGTCACTTTACAATCATTGCATCCAAATATTTAAATGATTCATCCAATTCAGAAATGAAGATCAGAAAGTCTTGCCTCATAGTAACTGCGCACAGCGTTGCAGAAAGCCTCATCAGCGACAATCTGAGTCTCTCCTTTTAGGAAGGCCTGGAAGCGCTCCTTCACCACCTGCAGCTGTTGCTTGTTCAGCTGAAAGAAGAAAAAAAGAAGTAAAAAAACAAGGCAACATTCATTTATTTTCCTTCAGCTTAGTGCTTTTATTAAATCAGGGGTTGCGGAATGAACCACCAACTTATACAGCAGGTTTTACACAGCAAGTGCCCTTCCAGTTGCTACTCAGCAGTGGGAAATATCCATACACTCTCACATTCACACATATACACTATGGCCAATGTAGCTTATTTAATTCATCCGTATCGCATATCTTTGGACTGTGGTGGAAATCGAAGCACCCGGAGGAAACCCACACCAACTGAAGGACAAGGTGACATTTTTTTTTTTTTTTTATGCATTAATGGCCATAAAAGATGGGCTTTTTAAAATGTTTGTTATCACAACAAATCAACTAAGTGTTGAGCGTGTATTCATTAAAATTACATTTACTGCTAAAATGATAGTCTGTAACTGCAATTTAATAGTAATGTTCATGAAGAATGGCTTTCCTTAAGTACAAATAACCTAATTTTACTTGTATGCATTCATGAAATGTTGTTTGTTGTGTCTTTTTTTTTTGGTATTACTGATGTTTTGTAATGAACATCGAGTAGAGAAACACAATTATTTCCCCATCCTTTGATGTGCTACGCAAGCTGCAGCAAAATCAGCAGGAACTATCGAACAAACATATTCCATAATGTTCTGATAAATAGCTTTATTCAAAATATTTTTTTTATTCTCCAAAAAAAAAAAAAAAAAAAAAAAACATTAGTCAGAGCTTTGATGTTGTTTGGGGGATTCCAATCAAATTTGCCCACGGGGAGCATGAAAGGAGGCTGCTTTAGAAATCAGGACCATTAACTGCTTTTCTTAGACATCATAGTTATGACTCATCATACATATACATCCAAGATAGCCATTTTGAAAACTGGCTATGGCAGAGAGCTTGTAAAATAAAACTAAATGTGAAGAACTGTCAAGTAACAGTGGTATGAAACACAAACACATGTTGCCGATTACATGTTAAGCTCATATTTCACTTCAAAATCATCATAGTTTAAAAATAAATAAATAAACAATGCTATTATTTTAAATAGGAATGAATATCTGAATGAATTAGGGATGCGGGGGTGTCACTAGCTATATTTCTATCCACCTATTTGTATGCATATTTTGCATATGCACATAAAAAACCTGCTGATGGAAACCCCATACTGCGCAAAAATGTTGAAAATGCGCATTTAAAAAAATGCATGCGCATACCTGAGCAGGATAAACTTTTTATTCGATAAGAAAAGATGAGCAAAAGCTACAATGAATACACTTTTACCACACAATTTTCAGTGTGTGCATTAAAAAAGGTCATGTGATTTTGTGATAAGAGATCATGTGATGATAAAAAATGTGTGTGAATAGACAAACCAGCAAGCTGACCACAAAGTAAACCATCTAAAATGTTGTTTTGGTCATTCTAAAACGTCTTACCATTTAAGTATTAGTGTTATTATCTTATTAATGACATCCAGAGTCAAGAGTGTCTGTGCTCCGCGTCTGACACTTTCAAACGCCACCGCGCGTTTACTGCGTGTCAGGATTGCCTTCTGAGGAGCAAGTCATTTATTAGATGAAGAAAAGATTTATACAGCTTCTTCTACTGCAGCAAATTCTGTTTTTACTGTTAATATTTGGCGCTAGTTAATAGGAAGTGACAATTTTGTTCGCTTTGACTCGTTGAATAAAAACGCAGCTTTATTCGCACGTCTTTTATGCGATAATCCAGTTTTGTGATCATTTGCATTTTTGGTTGGAAACATAGCTACTGTGGCGCTGTGGGTAGCACATTCGCCTCACAGCAAGAAAGTCGCTGGTTTGAGCCTCGGCTGGGTCAGTTGGTGTTTCTGTGTGGAGTTTGCATGTTCTCCCCACATTATCGTGGATTTCCTCTAGGTGCTCCGGTTTCCCCTACAGTCCAAAGACATGCGGTACAGGTGAATTGGGTAGGCTAAATTGTCCGTAGTGTATGAGTATAAATATTTATGGATGTTTCCCAGAGATGGGTTGCAGCTGGAAGGGCATCCGCTGCATAAAACATATGCTTGATAAGTTAGCGGTTCATTCTGCTGTGGCGACCCCAGATTAATAAAGGGACTAAAATGAAAAGAAAATGTATGAATGAATGAATGAATGAATGAATGAATTAATTAATTAATTAATTAATTAATAATGAATTTTGCATTGAGATGAGAATCATCCTAAAGATGCAGGGTAGTATGAAGCTGTCTAGCAAATAGCTTTTGTTTATTTTCCTTCATGTCAATAGCAAAGCGAGGCCTCAGGCAAATGTAACAGATACTAAATGTGCAACAACAGTCAACGGATTTATAACCACTGTAAATTCCCACCGAGTTTTAGCAACCTACAGGATGTCCTTGATTTGATGTCATGAATCTGTCTTGCATCTGAAGCGATGCCTCATGAAGTCTTTAAATTAGCATTCTAGCACACATCCGTTTCTAAAAAAAACAAAAAACAAACAGATCCCAAGCAGATTCAAACACATAACTGTGCTGTTTACCATGTTGTGAATGCGTTTCTGGTTGCAGGCGCACATTATGCAGTAATCAGTAAGAGCCACTGAGCACTTGTTTGGACATCACCACTAAGTAAGTACACTACAAAAGTACAGCACATGCATCTCCCGTATGTAGCACTCGCTTGTCATCTCACTTTCCGCAGCTTATCCACTTTCTGTTGTGATTGATTTGGCCTTGTCGCTTCGTGAGTCAGTGATCCAGTCTCTCTTGTTTGTAAAGCAATGCAGCGTGTTGACAGACTCGCTCTAAATATCCCTCACAGAAGCATGGATTGAGGTGCAAAGAAAAAAAAGGGATTAAAGTAGTAGTATAGTAGGTGGGGCAGCATTTTGTTACTGCTTTGTTTACACTGCAAGATGAATCAGCGACAGAGTTTCACACTGCATGCCTTTACAATAGGAATCGCCAACAACAATCCACAAACTATGTCTCACAACCAAACATACGCGAGAAGTGACATGGAAACAACGCAAAGTCACGTAGTAAATCTTTTTGTTTTTTAACTAATGAAAAATATTCAGAAAAATTTACTTATTTTGCTCACCTGGCTATGAAGGGAATTAGCCATTTCTCCTCAACTTTTTTTTTCTTTTTAGACCCGATTGTCATATTGCTCAGGTGACATGTCAAACAAAAACGGGTACTCCTGACAATTGTTCACTAGTTTCTTCACTATTTTCATCTTGGGTACAACTTAACTGAAAAGAAGCACTCTGCTGGCCTTCAGATATCCATAGTGGATGCTACTCTCTCATTGGCTGTAAGTAATCGCGATGTTATTTTCAACCAGAACACGATTCACACGGCATGATTTGAATCGTCGACAGGTCCAGATATTTAGAATGCCAAATATCTAACGGTTGTCTGCGACTAATCTGCGATTCTCTCTAATCGGGTCTTTGACAGTTCACAAGGTTCAATTGTTACTCACGTGGATAAGCACCGAATTTCGAAAATTCTGCCACTATTTTTAGGGCTATTGTAAGATAACAATTGGAACAAGGTTCTAATAGTTAAGATTAAGATGTTGTTAATTTCTTAGTTAATGCCTAATAACACATTACAATCAATGCATTAGTCTGATTACAAGTTGTAGCTGTTTTATTAAATGTAGTTATAACTAATCAAATCTATTTGTATTTTTGTAACTATTATTAATATAGTAATTGTAATAAATCAGATTTTTCCCACTTTCCAATGTTGATTTTATTCCATTAACTAACACTTTGTAATAAAACGTTATTGTAAAGTATTTTATAATCCTTTTGCAATTCTTGGGAAGGAAAATACAGTAACTAGCATTTACAGGCACATGTATGTATGCTGCCAAATTTGCTTCATTTGGACAAAGATGGACAAACCTAAGACTTTAAAAAGACGATGCGCTTCTTTGTCCCATGTCCAATGTTCCAATTACTTACACGCCACAATGCAAAACCTTGAGTCGCACAATGCTGTGCTTCTAGTCTGGGGTGCAAAATGCAGACAGGATAGGTTTAACATGATGTATGGACGTTGACTACAGCAGAATTGAATGTCACTTCCAGCTTGTGTTTTGCTAATGTGAACTGTAAATGGAAGTAAAAGTGTTGCAAATGCATCAAGCGCATCTCTGTGACTCTGAACCAAAAGCAATACTAATATAATTTTTAAATATAATGATTATAGATAGTGGCGAGGCAGTGGCGCAGTAGGTAGTGCTGTCGCCTCACAGCAAGAAGGTCGCTGGGTCGAACCTCGGATCAGTTGGTTTTTCTGTGAGAAGTTTGCATGTTCTCCCTGCCTTCGCGTGGGTTTCCTCCAGGTGCTCCGGTTTCCCCCACAGTCCAAAGACATGCGGTACAGGTAAATTGGGTAGGCTAAATTGTCCGTAGTGTATGAGTGTATGTGTGAATGTGTGTGTGTGGATGTTTCCCAGAAATGGGTTGCGGCTGGAAGGGCATCCGCTGCATAAAAACTTGCTGGATAAGTTGGCGGTTCATTACGCTGTGGCGACCCCGGATTAATAAAGGGACTAAGCTGACAAGAAAATGAATGAATGAATGATTATAGATTTTATACATTTTATTTGAAGACATTTACTTTAAAGGTTATAAACAAACAAAAGAAATGTATTGCTCTCACTTTAGAATAAAAGCAGGTTGTTCTTTTTGCTGTGTTTCAATGTTACAGAACATTCAGAAATAAAACTTATTAAGCTACATTAGGTATATCTCATATACAGTATATCTCTCATTTATTTGTGGAGATTCCACTGATTTTTTTTTTAAACCATAGTTAACATGTTGTGCCGTCTCATGTGTACGATTGTAATAACAAAGGCCCATGGGCATGGTCGCATTAATAATAATGTGCTTAGGCTGAGAAACTAGACTTTGGGCCCTATCATACACCCGGCGCAGTGTGGCGCAAGACGCGGCGCAATAGTCTTTTGGTAGT